GGGAGTTGAAGTCCACTCATCTTAAAGTGGCCAAGTTTGGACAACACTGCCTTAAGGATTTCATGGCTGCTAATGATCATAGGAATTCAGCTAGAAAAAATATGGTTGCGGGGAGGATGATCCTGATGACATGATTTTCAAAACCCACTGAGTTGCCTTTGTTCTACAATTCCTCCCAGTTGCCTTGAATTTCCAGTCTAGGAGCTCGGAAATGGATGTCCACCAAGGCCGATTCCAAGAAAATGGATTCTGTGGCTATGTCCTAAAGCCAGAATTTCTTCGAGATGAACAGACCAAATTCAACCCCAAGTCCATCACTGAAGGGCCGTGGTGGAACCCTAAGAAATTCCAGGTCAAGGTAGGAGCAAGAAAGCCCATTTACATAACCTCACGTTGCAGTGCAGCTCTTCGGCATAGCTGTGTGCAAGATGGGACAACTCTTGCATCCGATCCAAGCCAAGTCTTGCAATTTCCCAAGATGTTGGGAGCGTGCAAAATTGTTCATGTTCCAAACACCCCTTTCCAATGTGAAAGGCCCCATCGTGTGTGCAAAAAAGCCATTGATGAGTGCGAAATGGGGTGTTTTGAACATTTTTGGGAGTGCCCAAGTCTGTAACCTGTTGTTCTTCTGTTTCAAATCTTAACAGAAGTTTATACATTTTTGCTGTGACATCTTCACCATTTGTACGTAATTCAATTTCAAATTCCGTTTTGTGGAATTCCAAGGATCTTTTTAACAATACTAAAGCTTTCTTTTAATGGAGCATATGAAAACCATTGAAAACGACATTATTCTGCAAGGAAGTGCCTGTGTCTGAAACAGTCCTGTTTTGCATGCAAATCGCATTACTTTGAGCTTAAAACTTTCCTAGTTTCAAAGCAACTTATTTCACACCCAAGGCAACAGCTTCATGCTCAAGATGGGCTGTGTCAAACCTGAGGTGGTGCAAGTATGAAATGTTTTCTGGGCACCCTTATAGGATGCAAATATTTGAAGCTTAGGATGAGCTTAAGGCCTCTGCAGAGAATCTGAACTCTTGTGGTTCTCCTCCTAATCTTCCCTTTCTTGCAGATCATTTCTGGCCAACAGCTGCCGAAGGTCAACAAAAGCAAAAATTCCATTGTGGATCCAAGGGTGATTGTGGAGATCCACGGTGTCCAAAGGGACAACAGGAAGAAGCAAACCAAAGTAATTGATAATAATGGTAAGCGGATGCCTTCAGCAAGAAATCATAACTTAGGCCAGTGTTTTTCAACCTTGGGAACTTGAAGATGTGCAGACTTCAACTCCCAGAATTCCCCAGCCAGCCTTATGAAAATAATAAAGAAGAGAAGAGGAGAGGAGAGGAGAGGAGAGGAGAGGAGAAGAGAGGAGAAAAGAGAATGTTGGAGGCACCATGGACAGTTTCAGTATTTATGTATTTATTTATTTAGAAGATTTATAGGGCCACCCATCTAGCTTAGAAACTCTGAGCTGCTAACCACAATCCACAAAAACAATATAAGAAAACCTCTACAAGCCAAACAGAAAACAAAATTAAAATTAAACGTAGTACAGTGACCAAGGGACTGTGTAATTAACTTACCAATTCAAGGTGCAGTGCATGGAAAAAATGAGCCAGGGCTTCAATCATGCAGTTGTGGCTGCCATCTTGACTTTTTTGACCCCCCCACTCCCCGTGGACACCTCTTAGCTGTCAGGGGGTTTTGAAAACTGAAACAGCTGTTGGAGAGTCTCAATCTTTGGAGAATTAAGGCTAATTAACTCTAGGGTCATCAGTAACGTTAGCTTAGTCCAATGTATGTTTGCATCGCTTTAAGGCTAAAACTCTCCAATCCAAAGATAGAGATAGACCAATCTCCATCTTTTCACCTTCTATTTTATGTATTGCTAAATGCTGCACCCTAGTTTTCTGTTTATTCCAGGGTTCCAGGTGTTCCCACAACACGCTCACCTCCTTGTGAAGTGGGTTGTAGGAATGGGGCACTCGTTGGGTCAGTGGCCCTTTTCTCACCCTGTGGCTCTGCTTCCCTCTTGCCCAGGCTTTAACCCAACCTGGAATGAAACCTTTGAGTTTGAAGTCGACGTACCCCAACTCGCCCTGGTCCGTTTCATGGTGGAAGATTTTGACGCCTCAACGAAAAATGATTTCATCGGGCAGTTCACCGCCCCCTTCACGAGTCTGAAGCAAGGTGAGTCTCTTCGGGCTTCTTAGCCCAGAGCACCGCTTTCGGCTGCAAGGGGAGAGGGGCCAGGCCGGCTGGCACCATACAACTTTTCAAAAGATTCGTGGTTACAGCAAGTTTTTAGGGGGCTCAGTTCAGCCAACTTCAAACAGAAAGGAAAGCCCAAACCACGATTTTGATGGTAATAACCAAAGTCCAACAAAGTCTATTATTTGGCTAATAAGCCCGGACAGTTTTGTACATTACATACCTTTTAGGTACGCTTTACACATGTGTAAAGTCTCACTTTTATACCTTAATGGATTCTTGGCTCTAAGAGACACCTCCATCTCTCTATTAGTCCATTAAATTGGAAGTTTACTGTAGATCTTGAGGGACGCTGCCATGGAGGTCCTTTGGGGAGCTGAAAGAAAGGGATCTGGGTGGAAGTGAACCGACAAGACCTGAAACCAAACAAGGAAATTCAAACTTTTCAGAAACTTTTTCAATCTGCTTCTCCCATTCACAGTTTCCGGTTCTCCTTCCCACTCCCAAGGTTGGTCAGCATTCTTTGCCCACTGAGCAAGATTTAACCTCATTGGGCAAAATCCCACAGGGTAAAGCTGGCTGGGAATGATGGGTGTTGTAATTAAGCACATTGGGAACCCAGTGGCTTTTCAGGTAGAGAAAGAGTGATTGATCGCTCAGCAGTTCCAGCCAAGGCGCAGGTCCCCGTTTTGGAGCAGGACGCCCTCTACTGTCCACAGAAGGGAATTGCTTCCCCACGTCCTAATAATTAGATTAAATTTCTTTTTGAGGGATTATCAGTCGCACCTTCTACTGCCTCTAACCCTTATCTTCCAAAGCCAGGGGCCCTCCTAGTGGTGGAAGAGGAATCATCTCTTTGTGCGCCTGTACAAGTTGTTATCTTGTACGTACTTTCTGCCTGGAAGATAATGGGTCAATTGGTAGCAGAGACACAGCAAAGCCAATTTGGGGATGGGGGAGGCAAAGTGCTGTGTGGTGGCCCCCCATCAGAAGTTAGAGACCAGCAGAAGGAGAAGAGGAGCATTGCTTGAGCATTGTGCTCAAGCAGAAAACAACACCCTATTCAAGGAACTACCAAGGAGGAAACCAGACCCCCCACCCAAATGGGCAGGGCGAGCTACTGCATATAAACAGGGAGCAAACCCCACACTCCCTCGCATGGGTGATGTTACCTAGTCGGGTAATAAAACGTCTGTAACAAACCACCAAGCTCAGAGAGCACCAAGGATTCCACAGTTCAGTCCTAAGCTAGAGAGATTCTCTTCTGTTGGAATTAGGACTTGCTTTTGACCCATGTTTTGCATATTATCCCTCAAAGAAGTTACTGTGATGTGACACAGACTGACTTCTAGATTGCTCGAAGCCCACCCAATGGAAAGTTAAAGTCAGCCTTTCTCATGTTTCTGGGGGCCAACGTTGGCCCTGTGAAGGAAGACTTTCCTGCTGGAATTAATGGATCCTTCTCCTTCTGAGGATATGCATGCCCTGAAGATGTTACCTAGCTGGGTAATGAAACATTTGCAAGAAAACAACCAAGCTCAGAGA